CATGTCAGAAGCGAATAGAGATAGATACAAAACATGAAGACAGTGCTTTTCGCCACATTTCGATGCTGCAGCTCCATTTTTTACAGCTTCAAGATCACAGCGCGTGGGTCCACTTAAAATCTTAAAATTTCCCAACTTGCAGGCTCCGATAGCGATAAAATTACCACTTCACTCAATGTGCAAATGAGTAGCACCCAAGTGCATGACTCAGCAAAACAATGCCTGATGTGATCGTGAGTCACAAGGCCAGCTTCACACATAAATACGTGTGTCGCTTCTCAACCTCCTGGTTCACTTGCCACAATGTCATCCACACTGGGTGAGTTGCAGTTTCGTATGAATCTCTGAATTTCGTTGTTTCTGTTCGAATGAAAAGATTCACTCTGCAAAGTCTGTGTTCAGTTCTCCTAGGTCTTGTCATCCTCATATCTGCTGCAACGTGTCAGCTACCTACAGATGCTGAACGCAGCCAAATCCTGGAGGCTCATCGCAAAGTGCGAGAACGTGTGTTTCCTCCTGCCAGTAACATGCTACTAATGGTAATGTCTGCACTTGACAAAATCGTGCCGTTAAATTACCCATTTGGCCATTGCTTTTATTGGACAACAAACGCACCACATTTGCTAATATTCCACCAACCTCACTTGCGTATTTGTGATTTGATTAGGAATATTCAAGCAGATTGGAGAGGCTGGCGGCTTATTGGGCCTCTCGTTGCGAATACGAGCATCCAGATCCAAACCTTCACCCACAATTCCGCAAAATTGGCCAAAATCTTGCACTTACCGGTGGATTCAAGCCATTTCTCACTGAAAGCGTGTGTGGGTGGAAAAGCGAGACTCACTTTTACAGATTTGCTAATAACTCCTGCAGTCATGTTTGTGGTCACTACACGCAGGTGAGCAAAGTGCTGTGCTTGAGCATGGTCAATGCTATTTGGTGTCGTTGAGGATGTTTACTCTCAAATGCAATCACCCTCTCCAATGTCCATGCACCTTAACGAAGCTTTAAAATCAGTGACATTGCATTTCCGTAGAATCTAGTTGGCATTATTCATACTTGAACAGCTGGTGTGGGCCACCTCCAGTCAAGTGGGCTGTGCCATGCGGCGGTGTGATGGCCTCAAACCTCACTGGCCCAATCCACAATATCTAACAGTCTGTCAGTACAGGCCCACGTACGTCGCATATGTCCGCATTTGCTCATCAACACAACTTTGCTGCGTTTCCTAATGTCACTTGTGTCATTTCTTTAGAGGAAATTACGTTGGACGAAGGCCGTATATTTTTGGACGCAGCTGCAGCAGATGTCCAAGGGGCTATTGGTGTTACCGCAATCAGTGCGCGAGTGAATCTCAAATCAGGAGAATACGTTCAAAAGGCATTGCTCACACATCAGTGCCAGAATGCAAGCCAGAGAGCTTTTATTCGGTCATTCAGTACAGCTAATGCGAAGTCTTCCACGTCAAGCACTATGTTACATGTTTTGGTGCTCTCACCTTCACAATTTGAGCTTCAAATTACCTTCCATTGATAATCATGACGTCAATAAAGCTCGGTTTTCTCCTCTCGAAGATTGCCATTTTGTCTACCAGCTAACGGAGCTGTAATAAAAGAGTGGGATGAACATTAGCTGAAAGTAGAGGAAGGCAGTTGGAGCAGCATACGCAGTTGGAGTATATGCTAATGTTGCAAACAGATGGTGTTTGCCCTGCTTGAGCATTTACCTGGATGGACGCAGGAGTCGATATCTCGAGCATCCCTCTCGTTGACGCGACGACAGCCTTGGTTCAACTCCCTTAACTCAATAGTTCATGTTACATGAACATAATATCCATCCTCAAAATGAGCAAAGCAGCTACGAGGAAGACGTGCGAAGAGCTGCGAAATTTGTCTAACAGTGCACAAATTATGAGTAAAGGCCTTCTGCTCCATTTCACTTGACGACATAGACAGCAGTCAATTGCATGAACTTTTCCTAGGCAATTGGAAGATTCCTGAGGATCCCACCTCTGCTGCACATTCTTCAGGCAATTGCTCAAATAAATCTAGTCCGTAACATTCTTGCTTCTATCTCACTTCTATTGTTCAACAGTATTCCCCATCACGTGGAGAAGGCGATCATTATCGAGAGGCTGATGAAGCCTCGCCAAATGAATGTGGTGGAAGAAGTAATGCTAAAGGTTGGGTGGCATGCTTATTTTTGAATCCTAATCAATGATCAATGCATCTGGTGACACTAGTTGAACATATGCTCCACATTCACTTCGCGAACCACATCAAACATCAGCCTACCATCGACGGTGCAGTGGGTGTCTTCTCTTCACCTGTTTGGAACAGCAAGATTTGGTTGAGAACAATGCATTTCAATTAATTTTGTAGGGTTGCGTTTATTCAACTTATTATGCTTGGCACGTCATTACGCATTTTCACAGAAATGACTCACAACCAATAGTGTGGAGTCGTCAGTTCTCCCAAATCAACCTGACCAAGATGAATTTGTTGTAACAAGGGAGCCATATGTAGTAGTTGTCTAGATGGTGACTACCCTCCGTCTGCTTATGTGCCCCAGCATGAGCTGCCAATACCTACTACGAATTCAGGAGTAAATTTGGTGCTGGAAGGTTTACCTCATCCTCCCCTTCATGGTGTACATTGAGGTGGGGTTACAGTCGATCAGGCATTCTGCGGAATTAGTGAGTGCAGGGTAATCAGCTCACTAGAAAGATGCTGTTTGAGCATTCTGTCTAAGTGGCGAAGAGATTGGAGCCTTGCAACCTCCCTAACATGCGCGCTTTGTGAGCAAGCATGTGATCCTGTTGAGCTCACAACAGTGGTTGTCATGCACAATGACTTGGATGCAAAATATTTTGCTGACCAGTGTGGGTAATGTGTGCAGCCTAGGACATGTGTATCTCATCGTGTACCAATGAAACACCTGGCAGTCTTGCAAACTGCATCTGATATTATTTCATGGTTAAGGAATATCTGGAACTAAGCTCAGATTAGGCACAAATCGTCAGCATTGTAATTGAATGGATTTCCCACTGAAGCACTTCAATGTGATGCCCCATAATTGACTTTCACATGTGGAATTCTATTGCAAGTGTATCCGTACCTGTTCGATTACTTTTTTGTGCATTGTTTGCATCCAAGTAAAAGTTTGAGAGTGCATTGAGCACAAGTATGTCTGGTTGTGCTTATCTACATGCTTTTGAGGTATATCATCGGAACAGGGCACGAAATCACTGAGAAGCTGCAATAGAATGAAGTGTGCTTCCCTCATTTTTTGTGCTGGAACGCTTTTGGCGACTTGAACTAAATCAAGCATCCAACAGCATGCCTACTTAGAACATTTTAAGAACATTTGACTTTATTGCATTGGCACTTGGGTGGTCGAGTTGATCTGTTAAATTGCACTCAATCCTAAATAGACCACAATTTGATGACACTTGACAGGCTGTGAACGGCGACATTGCATCTGCACACATATTCGGTCGACTGTGACACAATTTGCCCAATGCTGATTTGTTTTGGTGAATGCTATTTTAAATGAGTACCTCGCACAGAGGGATGGTCAAATTTTGCATGACTACTCTTTTACGAATTCTGCGGTCAAAAAAGTGGAAGAAAGTTA